CCTGCATTCGGAGCAGGCAGGAGGCTGAGGCAAAAGGATCACTGAGCCCAGGAGTTGGAGGTCGCAGTGAGATAGGATGACACCACTGCACTCTAGCCTGGGCGATGGGTGAGACCCTGACTCAAGAAAAGAAAAAATAAATAAATAAACTAATGTATCTAAAGTACTTGCACAGTGCCACGTGTGTGCTTGTGTGTGTGCAATCAATGTATCGGTTAGAGACGTGCTTATTTATACTCTGTCAGATAAGTAGAGGCAATATGTAAGATGGTAAAACGCTCACAGGTAGATCAGATCAGTGGAGGAACCATGAGCACGGGACACAGACTTATAAACCTGGCCCTAAAGCAAAGGAAGCGAGTCCAGCCCTAACTGCATGGCCCCGTTCCAGCCGTGTGATCTGCGTCCTCCGTGCCCCCGGTGAGGGTGGGTTCATGCCTCTGTCCTCGGCACTCCCTTACTGATCCAGTCGTCCCATTTGCACTTCTGGAATCCTCTTGCATCTACCCCCTCTTCTTCTGTCGCTTCTGCTGCCGTAACAACTAAACAACAAAAACACTGTATTTCTAGTGGATCTCCCTGGCTTAGCCTTTTAAAGTTCCCTGAAGTCATTTCCTCTGAGCGCAGATCTGAGCTCGTCAGCCCCGTCTGACAAGCCTTGCAGCCCTCTGTGCCTGGAGACGGAGTGCAGTATTTCCTCACCAGGCACGGACTGCCTTTTAACAGCTGGCTTCTTCCCTCATCCCGATTTCAGCTACTTGAAATGTCTCACTCGTCCTCAAACAAGCCCGGCTGTTTCCCTCCTCTCTGTGAATGTCTGTGCTGTTCTTCTTTCTGAATCATCACTGTCTTCCAGATGATTGCAGCCCTCCCTGTTCTTCTGTGGCATTCTCATCACGCTTCTTTTTTTATTGTACATTATCAGAGGATATTGTGATTATTTGTTCAGCTCAAAGTTTCCTTCACTCTTAAGGATAAAAACCATCTTCCTCGTGGGAAGTCCCCGCCCTCACTCACTGTACTGTTCATGACTGTGGACCCGCCTATAACACGGGTACTAGTCCGTCGTGAATCCTCTACAGCAGTGGTTCTCAACCAGTGGATCCCGACCCCTTTGTAACAATGAAAGTACATCCAGCATATCAGATATTTACATTACGATTCATAACAGTAGCAAAATTACAGTTATGAAGTAGCAACGAAAATAATTTTATGGTTAGGGGGTCACCACAACATGAGGAACTGTATTAAAGGGTCGCAGCATGAGGAAGGTTGAGGACCACTGCCCTAAAGGACTGTGGATGGAACAAACATTGAAGCTGAGGAGTAGGATAAAGTCCAGATCATAATGTAACCTTTTCTTATGCATTTGAGATTTTAGGACCAACATGTCGGACACCCACTGTTTCAGTGACAACTTGTGTAGCTGGTGATTACTGAGCTAGTTTATTCAGCACCAACATCGAGATTCTTGTGTTTTCTACCTGCTGCATTGAGATCACTCACATGCCACCTGCAATTCAGTGTTTCTAAGAATACTCAAATACATCCCCACTATGTAATTTTAGAACATTTCATCACCCCTGAAAGAAACCGTGAACCCATTGCCAGTAACTCCCACGCCCCCTCCACCTGGTTCCTGCCAGCCCCACGCTGCCTTCTGTCTGTATGGATTCGAATATTCTGGACATTTCGTACAAATGGACTCACGTGATCTGTGGTCTTTGTGACTCGCATCTCTCACTTCGCTTATGTTTTTAAGGCTCATCCACTCCATATCATGCATTGATACTTTCTTCCTTCTTATTGCCAAATAACGTCCCATCATGTGGATATACTACACTGCCTTTATTCATATAAACATCTAAGGTGCCTCTCCTTTTTAGCTATTGTGACTAATGCAGCTGTGACCATTTGCGTAAGTTTTGTGTACGTGTTTTTTTTATTCTCAGATGTATACCTAGGGATTGTCAGGTCATATGGAAGCTCCAAGTTTAACATCTTGAGAAACTGCCGAATCTGTTTACAGAGTGGCTGCATCATGTTGCATGTCTACCAGCAATGTTCAAAATTAACAATATCTCCACGTTCATGCCCACACTTGTTATTGTTGTGGTTTCTTTTAAAATTAACATTAGAGTATTGTGTTTGTTTTACAACTTTAAAATACCCTATGAAAGTTTCTCAACTAACCCTGAGTTTATGCAATGTCATCAAGTCTATAGGAAAGTTAAAGATGCTGGTTTACCTGGATATGTCAAAAAACAGGATAGAAACGGTCGACATGGACATTTCTGGATGTGAAGCCCTCGAGGACCTCTTACTATCGTCCAATATGTTGCAACAGCTGCCTGACTCTATAGGTGAGAATGTCATATTTTGTCTTGAATATTTATATCAATGTAACATTTTCTTTTGATGGTATAATTTTTCCATGGTTATAGACAATATACTATTAGGCTGATATTAATAAATTAGCCAATTAACAAAATGGTATTTTATAAATATCTTAAAATGAAATATTCATTCTAGTTGTTAAATTCAAGAAGGATTTAAGATTAAAATGATCTTACTAAATTGATACGTTTTTAAAATTGTTAGGTCATTTATGTTGTGAAATGTCTTTATAAGGAGTATATATCTTAAGTTTATAGTAATCTGGTAACTATATACCTCTTCATATCTTGATAGAATTATGGTAGCTCCATCTAAAGATGTTGCTATGTTCAATTGTTAATATTGTAACATTGTTATAATATAGGGTGACACATGAAAATGCACAACTATAAAATGTTTTCCCAGTTCTGTTATTTTTAAAAGGACACATTGTTTTTATTGTCTTTATCATGTTACGATTCATGAGGGCAGATGACTTGTCTGTTGGTAACAGAGTAAGCATTCAATCTACTGCTTATCAATTTTTATGTAAATACAATGATGAAAGACTCATTTAAACAATGAAGAAACAATTTTGTATCAGTGTCTTGCTGTTATTATTTATGAGAGGACGCATTAGAAGGATAACACTGAATTACTTGACTGTGGAGTGTAGCTCTGGCCCTCATGTGACAGCTGTTACATGTCCAGAGCTTAACACTTAGTTGTCACAACCTGGCTGGCCCAGCTGAAGACCAGGGACTCTTCCAAAGTTTTCTCCACTGTTCTATTGTTTTCATTTTCTCATTGTTTCAGGCTGATAAAGAGCATTCGTTTTAGCAAGTCAAAGTCTAACTTTCCTTTCTTTCTAGATTTGCAGACTTTTTGAGTTATAGAATCACATTTTATAATGGGATTTTTTTCCACTTGCCCAACCATGGGTCTTAATTGAGAGCTGTATCAAACATTTCCTCCTTTCCAGGCTTTGTCTTTGAGAATTCTGATTGAGTAAGTGTGGTGAGCCCTCTGTTCTGTATTTTTATTAAACATCCTAGATAAAACTCGTGCTCAGACAAATTTAGGAAATGCTGGTTTATATGTTAACAAGTAAGGAAGTGTAATAGTTAAAAAGAACATTCCCTGGTCAGATCAGTGGTCCAGAGAGGTGATACATAACCTCACAGTCCAACTGAACCACCATTCTATCCCATTTCAAATACATCATGAGGATAAAAAAACCAAATACATTTTTAAAAACATGTTTAAATATTTTAAACATGTTTTTAACTGTATTTGGTATTCACTGCTGCCTCCTTGGTGCCAAGAACTGTCCTGTCATATGGTAGATGCTCCATGAGCACTTAAATAAGAACGTAGCCGTGGGTTGGAAAAATGAGCTCTGTCCTGAAGCCCAGACAGATGTAAGTCCAGTGATGACCCCAGGCCTGCTGGGCTCCTGACCACACACAGCAGCCACAGCAGTTCTTGCAATGATATAAAAAGTAGAAGGACTGTAAGCATAATAGAGGAATCAGAGCTTACCAGATATTGAGGCAGGTACCTCTTTTTTGTGAAGAAAGACTGGAAAACTCCTACAGCTGGTACACAGAGTCATGGAGGAAGGAGAGGACAGAAGGGAAAGTGCTGGAAACGGGGGTGAGTCACACGCTGACTTGTCCTGGGTCTGCAGGGGCCACAGGGTGAGGATACCACAGTGATGTCAGAACACCTGCCTCTGAAATCCAGATGCCTGGGGGTCAGGGAGAGGAGACCAGAAGACTGTCAGAACACCTGCCTCTGAAATCCAGACACC